TAATAATAATAATAATAATAATAATAATAATAATAATAATAAATTTCAGTGTGGTCTCCTGGCTATAATGTTGGACTGGGACTGCGGAGATCTGGTTTCTCATCCTGCTACAGGAATGAAGCTCATTGCGTGACTTTGCGCCAACCCCCGACTCTCAGCTGAACCTACCTCACAGGGTTGTGGTGTGGATGACATGGACGTGGAGGGGATAGCCTAGGGGGTGTGGTGGAGTGGGATTTGGAAGATCTGGGTTCGAGTCCCCACTTGGCCATGAGTCTAACTGGGTGACTCAGAGCCAGTCATGGACTCTGACTCTGAGCTACCTCACAGGGTTGTCGTTGTGAGGATAAAATGGAGAGGAGCGGCATGTGTGCCACCTCCAGTGCTTTGCAAGAGGAAAAAAGACACGATGTAAATGGAACAGACTGTTGTGTTCTATTTCTGCATCAGTCCGCTATTTTTTAAAATGCACATTTATTTGTATATGCAAATTTTCCTTAGCAAACATATTGTGCAAGCTTAATGTATATACACTAAGTCTGGTTCACAATATGCCTTAATAGATTCAATTTGGTAAGTAATTTTTGAGTCAAACCGCATGCTTGTCCGAACTGGAAACCAAGGAAAAGGGAGCAACCCGAAGGAAAACCTCCTTGGTTCTCCATGCAATTGCAGCTTTGGCCTGTTGGTTTAAAAATGTGAACCAATCAAAGGCCATCCCTCCCTAGCCCACGATATGTGGGGACTGTCTTTATATTTCCAATTGTTCATATCAGAAATGATCAATAATGCTACCAGTCCCCCCTCTGTCACATGGTCCTGTCCCCCTTTTCTGCATGATGCCCTAAAGGTCTGTGGAAAGGAAGGAATGAGTCCAAGTTGTTGAAAAGGGACACAGACTCTGGTTCGATCGCTCGCTCTGTTTGGTTCAGTCCCATTATTATTTTTCCCTTTCATAAGGACTGATTACAGTGTTCGTGTAAGTCTGGAAGTGGATCTCTGACGGCTGGGGAGCTTCCTCTGTATTGTTCACAAGCAGCTGACAAAGACGGACCTTTCGGTGCCTCGCATTTTCAGACTGTTTCATGGCATTTTTCTAGCATTAAAAATAACTTTAAATAATATGAGGGATGACAAAGTGACAAATGCTAGAAGAAACGGCTGAAGAGACTTTATAATTATCGTTTTTCTGCATGGAGCATAACATTACATCTCAGCCGTGAAGTCTGGGGAGGCAGGACGGGCAAGATCTGGTCGCCTGCACTGAGAAAGTGCTTCTCGGCCTCTCCTAGAAAGGAAGAAGAGCAGATCCGGTGGCGCATTTTGCTCGTGCCGCGGGCGGGAGAGCAGCAAGGCGGAAAAGAGTGCAGACGGTCCTCACACTCAACGATCCTTTGCAACTGGCCTGTGTAGGTTTACTGCCACTGATATTGGATAGAACCCAAGAACTTCCGAAAAGCCCTGCTGGATCAGGCCCAAGCTCCATCTGGCCCAGCGTTCCATGCACATGGTGGCGCACCAGCTGATCCTCCAACCAGGAGGGGTGCAAGACCTCTGCCTGCCCAAGCTCCAGGGCAACAGCGGCAGGCAGGCAGGCAGGCAGGCAGGCCGCCTCTGGGGCCAAGGGAGCACATGGCCAGCGAGGTCAGTAGCCATGGGTAGCCTCCTCCCTCGTGTCCAACCCCCTTTCAAAGCCATCCAGATTGGTGGCCATGGCAGCAAATGCCACAGTTTAACTATGTGTGAGGAAGCACTTCCTTTTATTTGTTTAACTTGCTTGCCACCCCCTTTATCAGTCCCACACCTCCCACCAGCCAGCTTCATGGGATGACCCCGGGTTCGAGTGTTATAGGAGAGGGAGAAAAATGCCTCCCCCTCCACTTTCTCCGCACCGTGCATTATTTTAAACACCTCTCTTACCTCTCCCCCACCACTCACCGATTTTCCTAAGCTTAGGAGTCCCAGTTGCTGCAGCCACTCACACAGGAGAGCTGCTCCAGCCCCGTTATTTTTGTTGCCTTTCTCTGTACTTTTTCCAGGTCAATAATATCCTTTTCCAGGGAAGGTGACAGGAACTGAGCACAATATTCCAAGACCGATCGCACCAAAGATTTATATAGCCATTGCCTTTAAGTCACTGATTGCTTTTTCCCCGTACTGGTGTTGCTAATGCCTTTCTAAAGCTATTCAAATTAGTGGCCATCATTAATTTTGGTGGAGAAACACTGCAAAATTCCACCTCAAGGACTTTTGGCATCCACCACTAGAGAGCTGAAAGGGGCTGAGCTGGGTTTTTTTTTTCATAGCTGCCTCTTTTAAAGCATGCCATGATTTGCGTATATATTTTTAAAGGCATGGAAATTTGCATAACTTCTGGCTGCAATTTGTTTAAATGCCAGGTGCAATGCGTGTAAATTGCACACATTCTGAGAATTTCTGGGTATCACAGTCATAATTTCTGCAGATTTAAAAAAAAGTGGCCCACTTTAGAAGCCAAAGACTTGCATGCTAGCTTGACTCATGTCAGGGCAAGTGAGCACCAGTGGTTTGACTGGCCAGAATCCAGGGGGCCCAGCTGCCTTATTTTGACCCCCCCACAAGTGAATTTCTGGCATACTGCTAGCTTAATTACACACTATGTGAAAAACAGAGGCACCTGACTCTGCAAAACCCGAGCTCATTGAACTTCTCTAAATTGCATATGGAAGCTTGTTTGGGCTTGATTCTGTAACAGATTGCAAACTTAGTATTTCTGTTTTATCATGAAAATTGGTGCATATTTTCAAGTGTATTTTAATGGTACCAACCAATAGTGCTGACATTGTTTTCCCATTAGTTAAAGCACATGTGTGCATTTTTCAGGGTCATTTTTCAAATGCAAGCATGCTATCAAACACATTTCTTTTGGGCCGCAAATCACATGCAAACACAGTCCAGAGCCGTCAATCTTCAGAAGGCCTCGGCAGTTTGCTGAAACAACAAGACCCCTTGGGTCACTTCCAGCCAGCAACTGCCACAGGGAACTGTCCACGGTCCTGACAAGCTTCGCCTCCTCCAATTCTGCATAACCAGATATGGCGCTGCCCTTCCAGGGCGCACCACTGTCTTCCTGGGAGCCTTGGGCCAAACTAGGCTAGACTCACCCCCTCTTCTGGTACGGGCTGAGCTTTCTGCCCCTCCAGTAGAGGTTTAATTTGTAGTCACCTCTCCTGCTAGATCCCAGTCCTGCTACTGTTAGTTTTGCTTAAAGGACTTCACAAGCTCCATCAGTTTTAAAGGAATGCTGTCATGACCAATCTTAGCAGGGTGGTAGCTGAGAGCTATAAAAATATTGCTGCTGACTACAAAGTATCGTGCACCAGGAAGGCTGCTATTATGCATGTGTGTGCATTTTTCTGGTAGCCAGGGAGCCAGCCAATGAAGTAACTATGCTCTGAAATTTGTTCTATTTATAGTCTGAGCTGTGCTATCCTGTGCATTATGTTACATTCTTGTAGGGGGTGGACATTTCTACTCCACTGATAAACCTGCAAGTCTAGATAATGCTTTGGGCAGGATTCCATTGTCTAGGCTTGAGATTCCAACATGGGGCCGTAATATTGTCTCAGGTACTTTAAGTGCAGCTTGGAGGTTTGGGGTCCCTTGTTCAACCATATTTATAGCCTGGATTTTTCCTGCAAGGAACCCAAGGCAGCTCATATAATCCTCCTCCTCTGCATTATATCCTCACAACAGCCCTGTGAGGTAGGCTAGGCTGAGCAGGAGTGGCAGGCCCAAAGTCACCCAAGGAGCTTCATGCTGAGCAGGGTCTAGGGCCCGGGTCTCTGGTCCAACACTCTGACCAAACACCCATGCTGGCTCTCAAAAATGCGTTCACTTCGCATTGCATCCGTGCAGTGTCTTTTCTTCCTCCGGAATGAACCTGCCCCAGATTACTTACATGCTGCTTATGTTCTGTGGCCACTTACCAAGCAGTCAATAGGAAAGAATTAAATAGCTGCTCAGCTCTTTGGTTGAAGTCGTGGAGAGTTAGACATGTTAAACTTTGGCCGGATGACAACTTGCATGGCTATTCTATTCAAAGATATTTCCTCTATCATGAGCAAAGTTACTAACCTTGCCTGAGTGCTTGCCTGTTGGAAAACGTCAGAGGGGAGACCAGGAACTTGGTTTCGGCCACAGGGACCCAGTGATGCAGGATTTTAACTGTCCAGACCCCAGGCCGGAGGGGCAGGTTCAAAGGTGGCTTGTAGTGAGTAAACTCTGCCGTGGATTCGATGAGGATGTCGTATGTCGCGGCGATGATGTTCACGGGGTCCACCCAGATGACCGTGACGGTGACGTTGGGACCCTTGCCCCACTTCTGCATGCCCACCGGCTCATCCATTGGTCCAATGAGTCCACCAAAATTTCGGAAAATCCTTTCCTTTGCATCCCACTCCGTTCCAATCTGAAAGCCGAGGAAAGGAAGAAAGAGTTGCTCATTAAGGGATGACGAAAGGATCAAAGAAAATGCACCAGTTTGAAATGAACAGATTTGGCTCTTGAGAGGACTGTTGCAAAATTGACGGGCACCATGCAGGGCCTTCTTTTGTCCTGCATCTCAGCGCTTGGGGAAACTGCTAGCAGAGACACGAAGCAGAGATAAAGGGTTGCCAAAGGAAAGAAGAGAGTCAGCAGCTCCTTTCCCTCTGCGTGCATGCAATGCAAGACAGCTCTCTCTGCCTTTGGCCGGAGACTCTCTCTCGGCAGGCAGAGCTGCTCCAGAATAGTAAGCGAAAGGGTCGGATTTCACCCTAAGTCCATCAAACGCCACTCAGACCTGCCTCTGAGGATGCAGAGCACAATCCGACAGGACCGGCGCCCCCACCTTGCTGCCGCTCTTCTCTTCCTAAGCGCCTTTGGCAAGAGCCAGGCAGCCTTCGAGAAATGAGAGAGAGTTTTCTCTCCTTCCTTTGGCTGTGAAGGCCTCTCAACCCGCCTGGTGTGGCTTCCTCTTTGGGGGTGGTGGCAAGAGCAGAGCACTTGTGAACCTGGTGCACCGTGGCCTCTGCTTTCCCTGCCCGCTGCCACGCCTCCTTCCTGCCCTTTCCATCCTGGGGAGGGGGATTTGTGGCGAGATTTCCCCCCAAAAGACACAGCTCAGGGTTCCTCCCTAGACACGCCAACCCAGGGGTTGGCAACCTGCTGCCCTGCAGTCCTTTTGCACTCCACCTCCCAGCAACCCCAGCCATCAGGACCAATGATCAGGAAGGATGGGTGTTCACAAAAGAAATGCCCAAAGTGGACTTCCCAGAACTGGGATGGAAGTCTCAATAAAAGCTTTTATTGCAGCAGTTCCAGTAATTATCTATACGCCTTTACAGTCCCAATGAATATCCACAGTCCACTGATCACAGTCCAGTTGCCAGACATCCATCAGCTCATGAGCCCCTCAGCAGAAGATGCTGCTTTCCCCGGGTTTAGCGCCAGTAAAATCACCATTCCAAAGAAGGCAGGAGTCTGCAAGGTGACTAATGCATCACTCCCAGCGAGTTTACTGCAGGCTGCTCTGGATTAAAAACAGAGGAGTTAGTTGCTAAAGACTGGACGCTCAGTCCTGGCAGGAATCAGGTCCCGCAGCGCTCTGCTCCTCACCCCCTCCTAGCTCATCCGTCAGAGGAGGGCTGGTGGAAGGGAGCTCTCGGCCACAGGCTCCTCACGGCTGGGTGGGGAGGCGACACCCTTCCCACCCCTCTCAGAAACAGAGTCACGGCTGCTGCTCCAGCCAGACTGGGGCAGGTGGCACAAGAATAGCCAGGGAGCGTCAGAAAGGCCCTGCTGGATGCTGATCACACAGCTGGCCAGCCAAATGTCCTAATGGTGGGACTTCCACCTTTAGGATGTGTGTGAAATCGCTCTCTTCCAGGTGTGTTCCTGGTGCACACAGGACTACGACCGCTGATACTGGTGACGGTTAGAGCCAGATTGGCGTAGTGGTTAAGAGCGCAGGGCTGGGACTCAGGCAACCCGGGTTCGAGTCCCCGCTCAGCCATGGAGCCAGCTGCGTGACTTTGGGCCAGTCACAGACTCTCGGCCCAACCTGCCTCACAGGGTTGTTGCGGTGGGGATAAGGCTGAGAGCAGTAAGCTGCTTTGAGTTCTTAAAAGAAAAAGGCAAAGTATAAATCTAGTATAGCATTGGTGGCCTTCTCCTCCATGAATTTGTCCAACCCCCTTTCAAGTCATCCAGGTGGGGGGCCCTCAGCATGATCTCTGGGAGAGCAACCCCCCTTTCACCGATGCGCTATGTCAAGTGCTTCCTTATTACCTGTCCTGAATCTCGCAGGATCCACCATCATGGGAGAGGGAGAAAAATATCTTCCTTTCCATCCTATCCCATGCTTACAGCACTATGAAATCCTCTCATATTCACCTTTTTGCTAAGCTAAACTGTCTCCGACTTTGTGTAATCCTTTCCCACAGGAGAGGCATTGTTCCTTCTGGTCATCCTTCCCTTCACCTTTTCCAACTGGACAGTGTCTTTTTTGAGATGAGATGGGCAGAACTGTACACATATACTAAGTGCAATTGACCCCAAGATTTCAGTTGCAATGTATGGCTGTGAAAGCCGGACCATAAGGAAGGCTGAGCGCTGAAGGATTGAGGCCTTTGAATTGTGGTGCTGGAGGAGACTTCTGCGAGTCCCTTGGACCGCGAGGCGATCAAACCGGTCAGTCCTAGAGGAGATCAACCCTGACTGCTCTTCAGAAGGCCAGATCCTGAAGATGAAACTCAAATACTTTGGCCACCTAATGAGAAGGAACAACTCACTGGGAACAACTGACGGCAAAAGAAGGGGACAGCAGAGGAGGAGGTGGCTGGATGGAGTCACGGAAGCAGTCGGCATGAGCTTAGGTGGACTCCGGGGATGGTGGAGGACAGGAAGGCCTGGAGGAAGGTTGTCCATGGGGCCACGATGGGTTGGACGCAACTTCGCAACTAACAACAACAAGTACAATCCTGGCAGTTTTATTTTCAGTTCCTTTCTAATTATACCTGATACAGAACTGGCCCTTTTCGCAGCAGCTGCAAGCTCTGCCACATGTCCCTCGAGGCATCCGCCACCACCCCAAGATCTCTTTCTTGGCTGGTCACCATCAGCTTGGATCCCACAAGGACTATGCGAACTGTGTTGTCCCATAACTGCTCACATGCAATGGCACTGAATGCCCAGCCTTTCAACCTGGAGAGATCCTTTAAAGTTCTCTGTAACCCCCGCTTTTTGTTTTAGACACAGTAAAGATCATCTTCTTTACGCCATACCACAAAATATAGGATCTAAAATTATACCGAACTAAATATTTCATCCCAGCCACTAACCTATAGCATTCTTCTTTTTTTAAGCTTTCAGAAAAAGGTCACCTCTAGCGTCTTGAGAAATCCAGCTCTTGCCTTCTCCTGGTTGATATGCTTAGCATATTTTCCATGCCAATATGAGCGACTGTGATGCCATTTCTAATAGTCAGCACCAACGGATGTTCAATTAAGAAAACACAGTCTTAAAAAAGGAACACGTTTCAGCTTACAAACATTAATTAGGGAGAATGATCTGTTTGCTGGCTTTTCTTTTGAAAGAGAAAAATCCAAGATTGGTTTGCGACTGTTAAATGATACTGATTAGGAATACCTGGTTATTAAATTTCATTTAAAGTATCATCTATATTAAAAGATTGCCCCAGATAAAAGTCTCTAATTATTGCATTAGAGTAGCTACTGCTGAAAGAAAGAGAGACAGACAGAGAAAGGAAGAACTCAGTGACTCTGAATACAACACAGCAGTTAAATCTGGTAAGACAGCAAGAAGAATTTCATACCTCCAAAGGGTCTTATTTACCAGAGAGGGTCTTTATTTTCTGACTAATTTGCTCTTATTTCCTTCTTTGTACCTTCTGGGGATGCCTTGATAAAAGCTGCTGTGACCAAAGAGTTGCCACTTTGGGGATCCAGCTGCTTTCTAGAAGCCAATGTGGCTTCTCTTCCTGTGTTTTAGGGGATCAGGGCCAGTCCTACTATTGGCCAAATTGAGGCAGGTGCCTCAGGCAGAGATACGTGGAGGTGGCACCCAGAAGCTGCAAGAGAGAACAGTGACACAACCCAAATCCCAAGAGTCTTCAGGTGCAGATTTTAGACCATGATGTATTTGGAAATCCATTGGCGGGGGTGGGGGGGTGCTGGGGTGGTTTATACTGTCCAAAAGACCCTAAAATAAAAATAAATAAATAAAAGGCGGGTCAACAGCCTCTAATTTGAGATGCTTCCTCAAATGTAACTGTTGGGAGAATTTGGGTAAATCCTGTCTGAAAAGCATTACTCCTGTGTGCCTTTGCATTGTGGGATCAAATCCTGCCTTCCTTCTCAAAACCAAGCTGTCACTGTTTAAAATGGCATTTCCCTGCTCCTTTCTCTCACCTTTAGCTGTAGGCTACAGTAGGCCATTTTAGCCCAAATATACATTATAAATAGTCATTGTTGGAATTCAGTTTACAATAATCTTTTGCTAGCCCAGAGGGCTTCATGTGCCCTGATCATGCAGAATGTTTAGAGTCGAGATAGGGGTCTGAGCTTATCATGAATAGTGTCTAGTGGCTTGAATTTGCATGTCTGAGCAGACCTGGAGATGGGTTCAAGTTACTCAACTAAAGTGTCAGTACTAATCTCATTGTTACAGTGTGATTGACTGACATTTCTTTATCTGTTCTGTATGTGATGACCTCAGAATCTTATTGTAATCTCTGCATTCTGTCATCAATTGCCCTGTACCTGTGTACCTATAAATGCCCTGTAAGGGTATTGAAGCTTGGCAGCAGAGTTCACCTCTGCCTGCCAGGTAATGCATGCATTATCGTGAGTACCGCGGGAACCCTGGGGTAATACAATAAAGCCTCAGATGGTCTGGACGCTTGGTCTTTCCCACGAACCCGAGTTTTATTCCCTCTTCTCAAATTGAGATTCCGGGATTCTGACATAACAAAACATACAAAGAAGGTACTTTCATTTCTCTCTCTTCCCCTTTCACGCTACCACAGCAAGAATGCATGTTCTAGTTTAAGACATCCGCAGCCAGACAATGATGAATATGAAACTAAACCCCAAATGCCAGGAGTTCCCAACCCCCAGGATGTGATAGGATCTACTCCTGACACTCGCCTTGATAGAGCAGTCAACAAACTCTCATTCAGTCCCAACGGCAAAACTGGTGTCCAACTAACCCAAATCTCCTCCGTTCAGCAGAAGGCTGGATATAAATCACTTCTCAGTGTTAGAACCAGAGCAGAGGACAAATTCTATACCACTTTGGACAACTTCCCTTTTCTTATTATAGCCAGCTATTTCTGGTAAAAAAATGCTAGTTCCATTGTCAGCTATGTTCTCCTTCCAGGCTGCAATTCCATGCATGTTTTGACAGAAA